AAATGAACATGCCCTCAGACACTGTTTCCTGCAAGATGTTGCGGCAGTACCCCGGTACCGGGGTCTCTCGGGCTTAACAGGTCAAAGGTCCCATGTCATGGCCATTTCTACTGATCATAATTCCATTGTCTACTAGAATAGATTTACATTGTTCAATGTTCCAAAATCACATTGGTTTCTCATACAGCATCTCTGTATAGTATGTGTATTCACTCTCTGTCCTACACACCTTGTTGGAGCTCCTGCCCCCCACCCCTCCCGATGAGCCCAGTGTGCTCTGATTGGTCAGCTCGCCCACTCTGTTCTGATGAGTCCACCGTTACAGCTGAACATCAGTGATTATGTTTTTCAATGGCGTTTGTTAGCAACCAGAAAATGACACCAGTAATGACAAACAGATGAGAATGCTGCGTGGGGTCTGGATGCCGTGTTGGCGGGACGTTGCGGGGCTCGCTGTTCCGCCCTTTGAGGCTCGAGGAGCAGACAGTGTGAGCTGGATTACTGGTGGTGTCGTTCCCTGGTTGCTGCGTGGGGTCTGCGAGACACCGCGGAGCTCAGTCTGAGCTCTGAGTGTGTTCGTGTACGGAGCTCCGCGCAGCACCGCGGCTGAGAAAAGATAAGGTTGTGTGTGTGTGTGTGTGGAGCTCCGTGGATTGGTCCTCGTTACGTCAGTATGCCCCGGAGGGAAAAAATGGAAAAAGAAAAATCTCCAATGAGGCGTTGTGGGGCAGCATAAATTTTAAGTGCTCACCTCCTTAGGCGCATTCACACCGCAGTACTTTTCCCACAAAGGTTCATGAGAACTTAGTTCATGAGAACTCTTTTGTCGCGTTCACACCAAAAAGAGCCGGTACTAAAATTAGTTAATGAGAACCTTTTTACCCCCACGAAAGTCCCTGTGCGGCTCTCTTGTGAGAAAAGAGCTATATTTCTGATTGGCTGGGCGGATGGCAAACCACGCCCCGTAAAACTCCCAAAAGGTTTTGTGAAGCCGCCATTTTATTATCCTCGCATTAGCATTAGCCCAGCGCAGAAACGCAGAGAGACTAACTTATGGCAACACAAAATAAAACATGGGGAGCGGTGGAGATGAGGAGGTGTCGGCGTTCTGGAGATTTACTCGGAAGGCTTCAGAAGAAGCTGCTGCCAGTCCCCAACTCCGGGGACTTCCGGCCGGGGACTTTGGGCGGCAGTATACGCCGTGAAGTGGTTTGCGGCCTGCCAGTAAACCCAAAGCAGAAGAAGAAGAAGTGACGTCAGCGGCTCCATTTGACTAATCCTCCCCCAGGGACTTATTTCGGTGTGAACGCGATCTGTACTTAGTTCATGAGAACTAAAGAGTTCTCATGAACCTTTGTGGGAAAAGTACTGCGGTGTGAATGCGCCTCTTGTTGTCTTTTCTGTCTCCCTGCTGTGGTGCACCTGGTCTGCCCCTGGCTCCGCCTCTGCCCAGGTGTTCCTAATTCCACTCAGCCGTATTATAAGGAGAAACTGGAGGAGAAGGAGGTCTCGCCTATCCTAACGCCGGGAGACACTCGCCTTTAATGATCTCTCTGCTACTTTTGAGCTGTAGACCATTTATCTGCCGGATGCTTGTGTGAGTAAACGGCTGTGCTTCAATAAATGATCATTACCAAGTACTGGGTTTTACGTGTATTATTTTATGTTGCGGGTCTCCCCAGGAGCCACTACAGTACCACGGAGTAGAGGGCGGGTCGTAACAATAGACACGTCTTTTCCGTTACGGCCCGTCTACACTACAGGCATAAAAAAATCTTGAAGCTGGGCGTGTCTGAAGCTTGGCGATTTTTTGCGAGCAACGCGACCAACAACCAATCACATGAATCTCCCGCCCCCGACATACAAAGCAATAGCAATGTTAAAACGAAGTAAACTGGATATCAAATCCCCAAACAGGCGAAAACCTACCAGTTTCACCCACTGTCTCTGCCACCTCCCTCCATGCCTGGTTCCTCCGGTTTGTATCCCGGTAAATAGTTCTGGTCGAAAGAACCGGGTGATTTTCTACCGTAATTTCTCGTTTGGAATATAAGGAAATGAACTGCGGTCTGGCTCTCCCAGCTTGCACGCGGTTTGATTGGCTAGCGCTTGTACTGGCTGGAATTGCAAAAATGGGATTTGATTGGCTGACGCCAGCTTCGAGCAAGCATCGAGCGTCAAAAGTTGAACATTGTTCAACTTTTGACGCCGATAGACGCTCGCGTTGCTTGCAACGCCTTGCCATGCTACCCACAATGCAGTTCGGCGAAGTTTGAAAATATCCTACGTCACCCCATTCAAATGAATGGGCGAAGCGTTGAAAGCATTTTTTGACGCCTGTAGTGTAGATGGGCCGTTAGAGTTTTATTCGCTACAGGGTGTACTTTGAGGGTTTGTGACTCTGCAGACCGTTTGCAGAAAAAGCTACATAACACACAAGGGGACGGGTAATAACAGGAAAAACATGACATGGGACCAGGCGCGCCGGATTCATTTTAGAAGTGGGGGGGGGGCAAAAAAGTGCGTGTGTATGGCCCAATCCCAAACCACGCCCTACACCCTACACACTCCCCCTCCGTGACGGAGTGAACTCCGTGGAGTCACACATGAGGCTCCCTCCTGTCAGATGGAGGGAGTAAATACAGCGGCAAGCTTTAGGACAAACTTCCCTCTCTCCGGCAGAAACAGGAAATGCCGTAACTGTATGTAACAACGGTTTCAAATCAGCATCTCTTTGACAACAAATGTAAATTAATCATCTTTAAATTGTGTTACTTTTTTGTAAAGCTCTTTTAGTTTCAAACCTGATGTTTATAAGCTTCTTAGTTTTTTGCAACAGTCTGTAAATATACACAACTTTATAATAAAATGCACACATTTACCTTTTTCTAGACTAAACACAGGTATGATCCTAAGTTAAAAACATATGAGGATATCATGAGGTTGTTAACATCGCAATCTGTCAGTGGGTTATTGATTCTGCGTCAGTCTTAGCTTAGGACAGTCATACATCATGAAGTCTTCATGGACAACATAATCAATTCAAAACCTTTATTTATCCAGGTAAAATCCCATTGAGATCAATGATCTCTTTTTCAAGGGAGACCTGCAGCAGTAGGTAAAAATAATATAATCAGCTGCTACCCGCTGCAGGACGGAGTCCAGAACAAATTTCCTTACGGGGACAATAAAGTAGGCCTACTATATCGTATCGTATATACCCATCGTACAGTCAGAGACAACTGTTCTGCCCAGAGCAATCGCGAGTTTCATCCACAATAACTGCATAGTGTTTTGCATTGCTTTACATTTCAGTTAATATAGTGGGGAGTGACTCCAGATACATTTGATTTATAAGTTCATTAATTGTCTCGTGTGATGCATATTTCCCGGTGAGCATGAAGCTTTTCAGAGTGGGGTTTTTCTCAGCTTTTGGAAATTGCTCTCCTTATCCGCATGCCCCCTGATTGCTAGGCCCTGTCGGGTTAGAAACTGCAGACAGCACAGTTGCTCCATCATTCCATCTCTTCTTTTTTCCTGCTCAATACGCTGTTGTTTGACAAGCTGTATGTTGACTGGTGTTTGACTGAAGAAAGCGCACTTTTTTTTAATACACTCTGTGGAAATGAGACTTTTCGTGGCTGTCCAGGAGGCTTGGGCACTTTTTCCAGTTATTAACTCTGGTATTAACAAAGCTATCATCTCCACATTTTGAGAAAGTTACAAGCCGTTTGACAGCAGCAAATCTGCATATTTCACAGAAGGCCCGTTTAGTGGTTTTGCAAATAATTAACCACTCTCTGTTTTTGTACCATTCTGCGTTGAAGTAGCCTAGCTTTCTCTTTGCCCAAATAATCTAGCGGTCTCCTTTTTTTTGACAGTTAGCTGTACAGCTTTACCCGCCTCAATGTCCCGACAACAAACCTCCATGCAGTCGGAACCAGCCTGTTTCGGTTCAACGACGGCGGTGGCGGTTTTGACAGTCTCTGCAGCCGCAGAGCTGCTGCTTTTGGGTTCATCTGGCTTCGCTGTTTCTATGATTGATGAAGGTCCAGGCTCCGGAGATGTGGATGTCAGGGATGTGACCATCCAGTTGTTAGATTTAAGTTTAGATTGACTGTATTTAGTTTTCTTCTGCGCTGGTTCTTCTGACATGTTTGCAAGTGTATATTCTTTCTATCTAGGTTAACGGCTGACACACACAGAACAACGTAACAAATAAAGTAAACAACGTAACAAATAAACAAATCAAAGCTTTTGTATTGGTTGTAATTTACATGGATACATTTGAATGGTGTGACAATGTCCTATTTGATTGGGTTAACATGTACATATTCTTCCTGTTATGTCTGCCTGCTTTATTTTACCTAATGCAAAGTGACCTGCTCTATCGAAATCAGTCGCATTGACCCGAAGACACATTTTGAGTTGTATACACTGCTGGAAAGAGGAGATTCCTAGCTTTCTAATGATATCAGGATTGTTTTTGTACTCCAAATATTAAGCAAAAATATGTCACATTATATAATGACTGTTATCATTTTGAGAAAAAGGCCTTTAAAGTTTCCTCTTCTCTGGAATCCATCGATCTGATTGATTATTAGCGGAGCAAAGTCCCACTGCACTGGGGAGCTATATACAAGTAGCAGCTAGTACGAGCAGTGTTCTCAAACAGTAGCCTATTTATTTTCTCCCCTTCTCATTGCTGTTGAAACCATAGGGCACCAGGTTACTGTTGCACATCATTGGGCTCATGTACAGTTTAGACATTTCTCGTGCCCAAAATGAAGACACTGCCTCCTGTACAAGTCGGCCACAGCAGTGGCATAAACCCAGAGGGAAGAAGGTAGCAGGCCAGCCTATATCCTCTGCAGTGGTGGCAAAAGCCAAACTGAACCGCAAACGGAGACCAGTGATCCCCACCTACACTCCTAACAGGTAGTTTCAAACCACAATAAAAACACAGATACATTTGGTAATAAAGACAAAATGGTGCTCCTTCACAGTTTATTGAAAAAAAATGTTTGCACCGTCATGCAGTTTGATGTGAAAGAATAATAGCCTAGGCACAACATCAGATACATTTCTACAGTGAATAGTTAATACTATGCATAACACAGTTAACAGTAACATGTATCTTTCTGCCTTTAGGAGTCAGGAATCTGAGGAAACATACAAGACACTGAGAGGAATGAGAGGCACACCTATAAGCTACATCTTTAACCAGACCCGTATACAGGTAGCAGTAGGTGGAAAGGACTACCCCATTGGTTGTGGCTTGAGGTAATGGTATTCTTGAGGATGCAGGCTGGAAGTTAGACAGAATACTCACAACATACCAGATCTGGTTGATGTTTCTCAACCTTATGTTAGGGATCCTCTCCGACACAATTTTACATTTCTTTATCTTTGATATAGCACGTTCAACATGTATCCTGTGTGCAGCCACTTTTTTTGTCAGGCAGACATCTGTAGAGGGCATCTGCCTTTTTCCTCTGACGAAGGGTGGGATGTTTATTTCAAGTCCAATTTCGTGTAGGTCATTTTCAATTAAAAATCCTTTATCTACCATAAACCCATCCCCTTCCTGCAGATAGCCATGTTTAAGCAGATTTTTCATTAGCTCAATAAAGTTGCTCTGCCTAACTATTTCTTTGTCAGACATAGATCCAGTGAAAAGAGTTGAACAAAATATTACAGAACCTCGTGGATCACATGCTATGAGGGATTTCAATGTGTTTGCAGACTTGTAGGTTGAGTAGCTTTGGCTCTGCAATACAAGTGAAGTTGGGGTTTGAATTTGTAACTCTGTACAGTCTAATATTGCCATCGTTGTAGGAAATTCCTCTGTACTTTCCTGGCATTTGTGCCATTATTATGTCTCTATGAGGCCATGCGGGTAGTTCCCCTAGAACTGTGAACATGTAGTCCACCCATGCCTTTAACAAAATACCAACACTACGTTCATCAATCATAAATGCCAAATCTTTTAAATCATGATTTTGTCTCAGTTTCATAAGAACAAGCAAGAGCTGCACATGCAGGGGCATTGTGTTAATTTGCCAATCAGTTCTGCTATATGTCAATGGGACTGAAGTTTGCTGTGCTGTTTCACTGCTAGGTATACTAAACACAGTACATAGATTGTTGAATTGATCATAAGTGAATCCAGTGGCATATTTGAAATAGGCTGGTACACGGCTGTGCTGCAAGACCTCTGGTGTTAATCTATTTGGTACATGATTATGTCTCAGAACAGTATTTATACTCGTCAGTGATTCGATTTGTGCTTGTTGATTTCTCAATCTTTCATCTTGCTCCTCTTGTCCACCTTCCATTGGGGGAGGCTGCTCCACAGGCCGGCGCTCCTCATCTGGAGGCTCCTCCACACCCTGACCTTCTTAGAGAAGAGAGAGGAGTAAGAGGGGAGGAGAGCGGGGTGATAGATAAGGAGAGAGGGGTGATGGATAAGGGGAGAGGGATGAGGGGGAGAGGTGAATGAGGAGAGAGGGAGAGGTAAATGAGGGGAGAAAGGAATGAGAGGAGAGAGGGATAAGAGGAGACAAATGACTCCTTGATGTTTCTCATTTTTTCTCTTGCTGCAGCTCCCACTGTTGCAGCTCCCACAGACCAACCCAGCAACATCCCTGCCTGTATCCTCTTCCTGTACCAAGACCATCCCCATGCCCCTCTCTCCAGACATAGCCATACCAACACCACAGCACAAGCAGAGCTTTGATCTGGAGGAAGCAAGAATACTACAACTGCAAACCACGGGACAGGCTGCATATCCACTGTGGCACAAGGAGCGAGAGGGCAGGCTGACTGCATCTGAATTTGGCACAATAGTAAAGAGAAAGAACATTTCAGATGCCTTCATACAGTCCACATATTACCCCAAGCCCTTCACTGCTACTGCAACAACCTATGGCTCTGCCAATGAGTCAAAGGCCAAGCAGCTGTACCAGGAGACATTTCCAGATAGGCATGTTCATAGCTCTGGCCTCCTCCTGCAACCAGATCTCCCCTTCCTTGGGGCAACACCAGATGTTACAGTATGTGACAATGGTCAAACAGGCTTGCTTGAGGTGAAATGTCCCTTTGCAGCAAGGGACATGACGGTAGCAGAGGCAGCCACAGCCATAAAAGATTTCTATGTGCGTAAAGACGGAGAAGACATGCACATCTCAGAGAGGCATAACTGTTATTACCAAATTCAAGGGCAACTACTACTTAGCGGACTCGACTTCTGTGACTTTGTACTTTTTACAAGAAGAGATATATATATTGAGAGAGTTCACAGAGATATTCAGTTCATCAATGACATGATTGTAAAGCTGCACACATTCCATGATGCTCACTTTAGTCCAAAGACATAAATCAGACCTCTTTCATTGTCACTCATGTCCTGTCTTGGGTTGACCTGTGTCGTCTCTGTGAGGGCAGTAACATCTCCAGCACACCTCATTCTGTGAAAAAAACACAAAAAGCTGAGTATTAGCTAAGCATAGACAGATAATAATAATAGTTCATTTATGGAGCATCTTTCATACATAAAATGCAGCTCAAAGTGGATTTTATTGACAACAAACATAACAACATTGACAGATCAACATTTGTATTTGCCTTGTCAGGGATAAAACGAAAAGTCCAGGACTTATTTCCATCGTTGTCCCTGTTGTTACTGGTTTCAAGTGGCACTATGGCATCTGAAGTGCATCGAGCATTCTTAGTGCATAATCTAAAGTGCATGTAGTAGTATTCATGTTTCAGTTTTTTTTTATTATAAAAAAAAGCATCATTCATGGCATGCTCATTGGTGCATTAAAAACAATTATTTTCATCAACAAAGTGCATAGAGACATTACTCATCGTTCACCAGAGGTTCAACACATAATACCGTCGCACCAACATTACAGTGGCAGGTTGCTAAACAGCTGCTCCCTTATCCTTGATTTGAACACTGCAGCACTCTCGGTTTCCTTAATATTGAATGGTAGTTTGTTCCACTCCACTGCACCTCTATATCTAAATGACATTTGACCTATCTTCCTGTTGTGTTTAAGGGGACTACATTTCTCAGGCTTCCTCTTGTGTTGTGTGTGTGTGCAATCATTTCAAGGTGGTTGTTAAAATATGTTGGGGCTCTCCTGTTTAAAATCTTGTGGACCATCCCTAGCCGGATGGGATCTGGATATTCCAGAGTTGGCTTCCCATCTCTGAAGTGCTTTGAGGTGAAAAGACAGTTAGCAAAAGTTAGCTAAAAACACAAGCTAACTAGCGAGGACGAAAAGTCAGACAGCAAACGTTGATGTTGATAGTTAGCTGGCTAACAAGTTGGCAGCTAACGTTAGCTAGCTGGGCTGGATATACGCTAGCTAGTTGGCAGTCAAAGTCAATCGTTAGCAAACTAATAGTTTGGTCTACGTTTCTAATACATGCCGTCAAATATTATGTCTTTATGAATTGACCTTACCTTTGAGCAAACATAAGTGTCCTTGGTAATTGTCTTCACATTCAGTTGTGTATGTGGTCGACGACACAGCATAATCCACCGCTTGCATTTGTCGAGTTTTCTTTTGGGCTTCGGAAAAGGTATGAAATATACTCCTCCATCCTTCAGGGTACCTGGTGTCCGAATTACAGGTACCCCACGCACAGCGTTTCACCATCAGATATTAGCTAGATAATAAACATAGAAACTGAACTCTTCACAGTGGTTTCGATCACAGACGTCTGGTTTTGGTTTGATGCGCCCCACAAACGGCTTTTCTGGTGATGTCCGAGTTTTCTGTCAGGAGGGATTTTCGCTGTGATATGATTGGACAAATTCTATTTGGGGCGTGGTTTAGCGATAGGTCTATTGCTGCAAAGATCCACTACTGAGGATGACCAACAAGAAGTAGAGAATTGTTTGGGCCAAGAAACACAAGGATTGGACATTAGACCACTGGAAATCTGTACTTTGGTCTGATGGGTCCAAATTAGAGATTTTTGGTTTTGGTTCCAACCTGCATGCGTCTAATACTAGTGTATATCTCTCTCAAAATATATATTCTGTATACATATACAGAATATATTATAAATACATTTTGGCAATAATTGATTGATGAGATTTTACATTAATTTATATTAATGTTTTAATTACTTAATGACCTTTGTACGAGTTCCGCTATTCTTTATCAAGTAACATTTTAGAAGTGTTTAATTTATTATTGAACATATTAATTGATTTCTTTATGAATTATTCTCGCGCAATTTGAATTAATCCAAAGTATTTGTTTTTATTTGCTTTTACACATTTGAAAAGAAAAGGTGAATAAAGAAGCACATTAAAACTAAAGTATCAATGTATGTCACATTTAACCAACTAGTGCCGACATGTATGGTAATATTTAAATCAGTAGGCCTACATTAAAGGGCATATTATCAATGTAGGCCTATGTATTTTTATAAATATATTTATTTTGGTAGGTTACTCTTCCGTAATACATTTTAATTATTATAATAAACTACATGTGTCTAATAATACTTACATACTTTTACTTAAATAAGATATGAATGCAGTACTTTAACTTGTAATGGAGTATTTTCACAGTGTGGTGTTTGTACTTTTACTTGTGCTGATAAAGGGTCTAAGTGTTATTAATGTGATAATAAAGTGCTACTGAAGAGTGTAAAGTGTTAATTAAGGGTAAAGGGAACAGACCTGCTCTGTGTATCCGAAGCTGAGGCTGTGAAACAGCGTCCAGTAGTTTCTGGAGTCTCTTGTTCTCCTCTTTGGAAAGAGACAGCTCCTCCTCGAGCTCTGCTATCGTCTTTTCAAACAGAGCAAATATCTCTTCAGCAGCAGCAGTGAGTCGCTGCTTCTTCAACGACAGCAGCATTTGGACTTTACTCATGTTTCCTAGATCACCATTTCCTGCATACTCCGTTAAACACACCGTTTATCTCTCCACCAAACTCTCAATCTGACTAGTGTTGCTAACGTGTTTCCCGCTAGCATGCTAGCTCCTATAGTCCGAGTTAAACGCTCCAGAAAAAAGAGCACACAGTCCATTCAGAGGTTTATCCAGACACACAGATGATGGATCAGTAGAGCTGGAGCTCACACACACTTTCTCGGGAACACAGAGAGAGATAACCGTAGCGACGAGACGCCACATGGGCTGCGTTTCACTTCTCTTATTTTTCATTTCCTCGGTCTCACCGGAAGTTGATTTGTCTGCGCCATCTTGAGTAGCGTCCCAATGGCCTTATTTTTGCCGGAGGAGCGATAATCGAGGAACCACCAGACCAGGGGTCCTTCTCACTTCGGTTAAATGGATTCCTTGCGTCCCTCACTTGCATTGTTTCCCTGTGACTAGTCCCTCCCACCAGGGAAGCATGGAGAGACGCAAGGAAACCACGGCCCTTTCTCATTTCTCTAACTCCCCTCCTCGAGACTTAGTCCCGCCCACAGGAGATGCGAGCCGAGGAACCGAGGAGAGAGGAGGGGAAGCAGCAGGCGGTTAGAGGGCCCTTCTCACTTCGGTTAAATGGATTATGTACGTCCCTCACTTGCGTCGTTTCCCTGTGACTAGTCCCTCCCACCAGGGAAGCATGGAGAGACGCAAGGAAACCACGAGAAGCAGGGAAATGAGTTTTAAGAGCAATGGGACGTCCTTTCCTCCGGAGCGTCACGTGAAGCGACGTCCGTTTGTGATGACGCTGCACAGCTGATCGTCTGACAGCAGCTCTGTCCCCGTTATTTCCACACACACCCCCGCCTCTGTTAGTACACATTTACTGACACAAACATTTGTATCATCTGTTGTAGACCCAAATAAATAAAATTAAATAATAACTCATTCTCAAAAAAGATAAACGCCATTCTTAAAATGTATAAACGAACAATAGTTTGATTAATATTGATTAGAGTGCACAAAATAAATAAAATAATTGAGAGAAGAAAAAGAGATATGTTATCTATCAAAACCCAGTTAGATTAACATTCATTGGATTGCACACTTTGTTTGTTTGTTTGGATATGTAGCAAATTAACATTTTAAATAGCACTTAATGACTGACTGAATGGAAATGACAATAAATGAAAATGTAAAACGAAAAAAGCGATCATGAAAATGTTTCCAAAAAATGAATTAAATGATTTTTGACCACTTTGTTGTTCAGATATATCACATATTTGTAACTAAATGATACATTAATTGAAACAAAACACGATATAAACTGAGTGACTCCCGTGAGGTTCATGTATTTTCTTCACTCCGCTGGGAAACTGCTCTCATGTCAAGAAGCATCAGATCAGTGCATGCATTGCCTCGTCCAATCAGTGAGCGATACACAGTAAGGGGGCGGGGCGAGTGTCTGGGGATTTCATCGAAGGATGGTCTGGTGGTTCCTCGGTTATAGTTCCTCCATTATTGTTCCTTGCTCCTCCGGCAAAAATAAGGCCATTGGGACGCTACTCAAGATGGCGCAGACAAATCAACTTCCGGTGAGACCGAGGAGCGAGGAAATGAAAAATAAGAGAGGTGAGAAGGGCCCTTGCTCATTGGCGCGTGATGATAAAATGGCCCAACTTTTGAGAGAGCAGCCCATTCCCAAACCATTCTACACCCTACCCCTCCGTTTGCGCGTTCACGCGGAGGGTCCGCCATATTGAGGGCTGTTCCAAAGCAACGAGTGTGGAGTGGGCTATCAAGCCCTCAAACAGCGAGTCTGCAGCGGTGCTGACTTTAGACCGATCTCTACCTGACCGGAGTCACGCTGTGTGTGTCCGTCAGGAAACACGCTGTTTACAAGTAGTTCCAGCAAACATCCACTGATAAACTGCGATGTTAACAACCTCATATGTTTTTAACTTAGGATCATACCTGTGTTTAGTCTAGAAAAAGGTAAATGTGTGCATTTTATTATAAAGTTGTGTATATACAGACCGTTGCAAAAACTAAGAAGCTTATAAACATCAGGTTTAAAACTAAAAGATCTTTGAAACACAATGAAAGATGTTTGGAGTTTTATTTGAGTTATTCATTTAAACTTTTTGTCTAAGAGATGCTGATTTGAAACCGTTGTTACATACAGTTACGGCATTTCCTGTTTCTGCCGGAGAGAGGGGAGGCCGTCCCAAAGCTTGCTGCTGTATTTACTCCCTCCATCTGACAGGAGGGAGCCTCGTTGAGCTGCGAGTGTGGCTACAGACGGGGGGGTAGGGTCGAGGGAATGGTTTGGGATTGGGCCAGCGAAAAGTCACAGATTACCCGGCATGCCTGAGAAGTACCCGTATGTGCGCTCATAGCGCATGCGCAACTTTAACCAAAATGCTCGACAGGGGAGGCTCCAATGTAACGGAAAAACAACTAAAGAAAAACGAAATAGTAATAATAATAAAATGTCTCCACTGATCTGTGTTGTAAGTGTGATTTATGTATGATTCCAATCGCTTTTTATAGTCAAAATCAGCAAATTGGCCGAGCTCCGCTACAACTACATGGGAGTGAGGCAGGGACGAGCTCTGCCTCACGTAAACCCAGAGTAACTGGCTGGAGTGTATGGCGTTATATTTGTGCCTCTATTCTGAGCGCGCACTTGAAAAATGTTGAGCATAGAGAAATATATTTTCTCTCGTAAAACTCCTGGTCCGTGCGCAAGCAGACCGCTGCACGCGCTCTCTCTCCCCCGCTCGCTCGACCTCTCCAGCCTGCGCGCGCTCAGCTTTGCCTGCGCGCGATCAGCTTTGCCTGCGCTCGCTCAAGTTGTCACAGCGTTACAAATGTGCCACAAAACCAACCAATTGGAGAACTCGAGAACGTCAATTCTGATTGGCTGGTCGTCTCCAATCATATCTTCTATCTGAGATGAGAGAGGGATTTTCGGTTGCCATCAAGCGGCAAACTGTGGGGTAGAGCCGGGAAGCCAATACGGAAGTGCCACACACTGCAGTTCATATATTGGCCGATAGGCGATGGCTGCAGAAAGGAGCAATTTCCATAGACCCCCATGTTAAAATGCCCAACTTTACAGCAGAAAAAAACATGTTTCTACCCCTGGCTCCATACATTTTATTATCGATATAGTTAGATTCCACCTTCATGATTATGGATCTGTGAGTGAATTGTTTTCTAACGCGACCCTTTTATTTACATTAGGTCTTAAAGTTTGTGCATAAATTAGGGCGTGGTCACATTGAGTGACGGCTCTGTCAAGTGCCTGTGTCAGTACCATGGATGTATATAAGAACTGGATACAGCGTCGGAGGCGGGGCCTCATTCATTCCTATGAGAGCTCCTCATTAGCGCATGATGATAAAATGGCCCAACTTTCGAGAGAGTGAAACGTCACAGATTACCCAGCATGCCTGAAAAGTACCCGTATGTGCACTCATAGAGCATGTGCAACTTTAACCAAAATGCTCGTTCACATCAAGCACGTCAATTTGCGTACACGTAACAGCACCGTGCGTTCATGACAGCATGGTAATGGTTTGTTGTTATCATGGATTTGATATGAACGAGGCGGCAGTTAGCAGCTAGC